GCTCAAAGACAGGGAAAAAGAATTATCGTAATGCCTTGTTCCCTTTTTTTCAGTTTTTAATGACCTCATTTTTTTCACTATAAATATAAGTAACATGTTTGATGTTACAAGTGTGCTATAGTACTTTGTTCAAAAGTTATATTTTTTTTAAAGGCCCTTGTATATGCAGCTTACGTTACGAAATCTCTCTAGATCACACTCATTCCTCCCCAAGGGACCTGTTAAATTATCCGTTCAATGCTATCGAGACTGATCTGCATTTTTTATAATTACTATTGCAACTTAATGTGAGTACCTATTCTGCAAATACACATTATTATCAAAGATCTTTTTATATTTGGAAGATAAATTGAGCCTAGTCTATTATCTTATTTTCGATTTTATGATAGCATCTGCGTTGGAAACAAAGCAATCATTGAACGACTTGTATGTAGCAAATAATATCAATATTTTTAGCTACAACTGTATTTGTTTTTATTATCTGAATGGCACTAATTCTGAAGAAATAACAGACTTACTCATTTGGTAGAGGTCCTAAAAATTCGTAACTATCTTTACAACCTTGAATACAAAACTTTCTACGTAATTATTCGCTATATTTTACTTTATCTATTCATTAAAGCATCGAGTCCCATGAAGCTAAACTACATTTGCGGAAGATTTTTATTATTCTTTTAAGCGCTTAGTTTTACGATATCCGATTTAACAAAGACCTTGTAGTCAGTATATGCCTACGCTCCTTGAAATCAAATTTATTGACAGATGATTAAAAACATAATTTTATCGTATCCTTACTAAATATCATACTAACGAAGGCACTAAAGCAGCGCTAAAATTTCTTTAATATTTAGCTTGTTTACGACTATCTTTAGCCCTGTGACTGTAGTGTTCAAAATGTAAGATGATGACAAGTCCAATATCAACACTGCATTGAATTAGCTAGATTCCAAATGTTGTAAAAAGTTCTTTCATTGGTCTGTTTTATATTAGGCTACTTATGATACGTTCATATGTATATATACTGTTTTATTAGTTACATCAAATATATATTCCAGCTACGTTATTTTTGTTTTTTATCCACTAGGCTCTTGAGGCCGGCCTAAATCACGTAAACACTTTAGGCTGGACCAGGGAGGCTATTGAAGCAGGTTGTCAAGAAATGAACCTCGCACCAGGTTTGCACGCTATCGCTATGCCAAACGGCGGCTTAGATTTGGTTATTCATTTCTACACTAGTCGCAACGAGCAGCTGGCGGATGCTATGACTAGCTGGCGCCAATCTGAGGCTTCCAGGGATTCTGAGGGGCTTTTGAGTGACACGCCATCTGCTAAAGGATCGACAATGGATACAGCTCCAATGTCCTTGAATGTTGGGCGTACTTCAAGTCAGAATGTCCAATCTAGCTGTTTTGAGCTTAATCCTAGAGAACCTTGGGTGGAATCCAACGAGTGGGTACAAAAGTAAGCTTCCTTTTACATCATCTAAACTTCGGAATAATGCCATTTAGGCAAACCGATAATTTTGTTTTGACTATAGACTTCACGTAAACCATTATAGAACGAATATATGCTTTAAGTTTAGTTTCCTGTTTATTTTCATTAGACCTTATTGTCAGGATGGTAACCGTTATCTTGGAATGCCACTATTCTTGATCTTTTATATTTCTCTACCTTGGAATAAGAGGGAAAACTTGTCCCCACTCCATTGGCTGTATTTTGATAAGCCTATTTCCATTTTTAGGCTAATTTCTTATTTATTTCTAAGGTTAACTGATTGCTTGAAACGTTTTACCCATGGTCGATGAAATGAATAGTATTTTGCAACCTAGATATTTTATCTAATATAATTTTTTATAATCTTTATCTTAAACAAGCCGATGACCTCATCTATTCTCTCATTAGTTCTCTTAGTTTTTAACCAAATGCGACGATCCAAAATCAAGCATTCGAATATTGCTAAGCAAGATAATTTGCTTTGAAAAATAATTTTGCTCTGTCTACTGGAAAGAGCACGACGATTGTCGCGCATATAAGACGCTTATATGAATTCTACCTAAACATAGGCTTAAAATAACAAGATATGAAGACCAAGAGGTTGTGGCCTCTGGTATGGTCATAGTCCCCTTTTCTATTTATAGAAGTGGATTGACGTCGTTGTCGCAACTTGGTCTTGTGTTCAGGGAGACTATGTAGAACGCACCTAGTCCGAAGTCGTCTGCCA